ATTCTCTATTGAGGTAGGGGGTATTATAATTTATTTTTCAAGTGATTTAATTGTTCTTATAGTGATATCCAAGTTATATGCATGTCTTATATTGAAATAAGAAATAAATGATTAATTTTAGCTTGTATATAATTCACTGTAGACTAGATAAATGTCATGGCCATGACTTGATCTTTGTTGTATATTAATTTGGCATGATTTAAATGAGCTTTTAAATCTAGAGGATTAATTGATTTAAATTCTAATTAATTGTACCATGCTTATATTTCATTTGCGACTTGATATAAAGCATGGCCATGAATTACTCTTTGTCATATATTAAATTGGAATCATTTGGACAACTCTTGAAATCTAGAGAAATTACTTAGTTGGTCTACTTAATTTCCACCCTGTTAATCTAATGATTTAGTCATGTAATCCATAGAACTCATTGTGTTTTATTACATATCATGACTTGTTGCTTTACTTGTTGATTTTGGAAACTTGGGATATTATCAAGAACTTGACATGGCTAGGACTTGGTTCTAGTACGGGAGATAGAGAGCTCCCTAAACTATAGTGCGCACTAGGGAGAGGTACCCATAGGTTAATAGCCCTAAAGTGATCTTAAGAGTATGGTTTTAGTCCGGGCGATATCTAAGTATCCACTTTAGCTTGATTTCACGCTTTAATTTTTAAACCTGATAACCTTGTGATATTGCATCTCATTGTGCTATGTTAAAAGTTCCAATGTTATTTAATAGCATGGACTAAATTTTAGTGAATTGTAAATCTTGTAATAATTTGAACTTATGCATGCTTATTCCCTACGAGTAAACTTATTTACTCACCCCGAAGTTACTGGGTGTTTTTCAGGTAAAGAAGCATCATTGTGGGATGCACAACACTCTTAGACTTGCTAGATTTCTTGGAGTATTTTGGTGACATTGAATATGAACTTGTTAGCATATCATGATCCTTTTTGGTGTATTGTATAAAGACTTGTATTTATTGTCTAAGCTATGTAATGTGCACTTAAGTGCACCTTTTGATACTTTTAGATGTGTATGTAATGAGGCCAAGGGCCAAAGACACTGATATGCCATGTATGATACCTTATTTTCATAGTTTGTTTATGGAACTCATGAAAAATCCATGCGTTGAAAGGTCATATTTTGCATAAGGCATGCCATGAGGCCGTAGGCCATTCTAGGGCGTCTAATTCATCATTTTACACATGCGAGCATGATCACATCTCAAGGAATACAATGGATTTCAACTTTTTAATTATTTTTGGAGGATTTTATGAATTTTTATAAAAAAAATTCATGCATTGGGCATCATTCAAAGTTTTCTTTCGATTTAGCATGTAATGGTTGTTCATTTAAGGTTCAAAGATGTTTTGAAACTTGTCCGGATCAAATAGGAAGCGTGCATAGCCTTAGGATTAAGCCAAGAACCTTCCCCATGAGTTGCAGCAGACATTTTGGCTGCATTAGAGTGCATTGGTCGACTGATGAGAGCCATCAGCTGGCTGACACATATCGAGTCTTCATTCCAATAGCCTTTTTGGGATTTTTGGTGTTTCAGCTGACTGATCATTGGGGTTCGGCCGACTGACCATTGGGGTTCGGTCGGCTGATGATGGAGGTTCAGCCGGCTGATCCTCCCTGGAACCTTTTCCTTTTGATTTTTTCTTGGACAGCATTGTTGCAGCAACTTCAAAGAGCCATAACTTCTTCATTCCTAATCCAAATTAGGTTTTTATTAAGTCTAAACTCAAGATCTTGAAGTTAGCTTTCCAATGGTACCAACCATGCATTAAAAATCCAACCGTAATGGGAGTTATTGCAGTTTTAGTAAGATAGGGTTGTGTTGTCTCTTAAACGGAGGATGCCTCTTCTTTCTATTTTCATATCTTTTCCATCCGGACTCTGAATTAGGTTATTCTTGAATCTAAATTCATTAATTTTTCATTGTATTTCCAATGGTGTGCTTGGCAGCACCCACTTTCATTTTGGAAAAGACCGTTTGCCCCTAGGCTTATTCTTGTCCATTTTTGAAACGTCGCTTCCCCAATTGTTTTCTTTGAGTTCAGTGACCACATTGAGGGTCACATTGGTGTCTTATAGACATGTAGGATCTCTAAAGACCATTGTTTTACCCTTTGCATCTGCATTCCGATTCATTATTGGATTTACTTTCGGGTTACTGTTGTCGCACCGGGTTGAATAAAACCTGGGTCATTACAGTTCCCTTCAGCTTATTATTTATTTATTAATTATTCTTTTTGTATTCAAATGGTTATTTAAATATTAATTATTTGATATCCTTCAGTTCTATGCTTAGACTTGATCAGCTGTGGTTCTAGAATCGAATGGTATCACAGGGCATCCAGACGCATGGCTGAGCGTCCGGACACAAATTTACGTGGCTACTGGAATTTCACTTTTCTTCAAATCTTCAATTGTTGGTCTCGGATTGTGAGGTGCGTCCGAACGCAAGATTTTGCACTAGGAGAGTGCGTCCGGACGTAAGGCTGAGTCCTTCATGTTTGACTTCTTTTTCTTGCTCAGCTTTCCGGGCCTGACTTCATTCTCAGGCTGAGTACAATCTTTAGGCTTTAAGTCCATTTTTCGGGTTCCATAGCTCGCCAATTTCCTTGTTCATAAAAACCTATTAATATCCTCTTTTTATGCCATTTTTGCTATAAGCTTTGAAAATGACAATTAAACACAAAACTGTATAAAACATACTTTATTAACATGCTAAATAGACTAAACAATGCAATTAAGGATGCTTAAATATAAAATATTCGGCACTTATCAAACCCCCAAACTTGCAATTTGCTAGTCCCTTAACAAAAACACTACAAGACATCCCCTCTTTCGTGGGAGTGACAACTGCATTTAGCATATGCAATAAGCCTTTTAAACCCTTAGGTATCCCTAGAGGACGAGTGAAGTCTCGTGAGGGTTTACTAGAAATGATACCCACAAACATTAAGCAATGAGGCTCCTTCTTGCTAAGTTGAAACATATGACCTTAGGAATTAAGGACTCTATTATGAAGACTACAACAAATATGCATACAATGATATCTCAAAAATAATATTCAATTCACAGCATTCATGCATCAATAAAATAGTCTACATAAACTATCTTTAACATCTCATTTATAATAGAATTTCATCTCAAGTTCCTTAAAAGTGAACCGGAATATTGATTTTCTTTTCTAATTTATTTTAACCCTATTATGACTCATACAATGGCTTCCACATCCTTACCTTGTCTTTTGAAATAATAATCCAAGACATGAATTTATTTGATCTCTTATATATATATATATATATATATATATATATATATGCATGGTTTTGTGCAATGTCTAATTTCCTTAAGCTCTCTAATCACCCCATGTAATGAGCATTGAGCCAACGACTCCCAAACCAGATGGTCTTAAGGTGTTAAGTGTAAAGACATTCGTAAGGGCGTAATGACTCATGATAACTAGGTTACGAACTCAAACCAACCATACATATTACATTCTCTCCTTGTCTTCCTTTTTATTCGGTTGACTAGTTGAAAGATTGCAGTTTTTTTTTTCAATGCCAAGGACCATTTCTTTCATCCAACTTACTAATTCAGGGGGGCAATTTTAATAAGACCGCAAGGAAGGAGATGTAATTTTCGGTGTGCTCAATGTGTATTGTGAAGTCACTTTAGAGATGAAAAACTCCAAAATAAGACATTTAAATCATACAATGGACCTTTTTCATTTAAACATTCATGCTAGCAACTTTCAATCATTCCTTGATTTCATATATATGTATACAAATTGTATTTGTCACATTCCCCCCCCCCCCCCCCCCCCCCCCCAAGAAACTTAGTGCCAACAAATCACAAATCATTTGCCTAAACATACAATTTTATTTTATTTTATTTTATATATTTTTTTTGCTTTTCAGAATTTTCTAATTTGTTAATTTTTTTACAACCATAACTTGGCAATGACAATATACAACAATATGCATATAAATGGTTATATCCTAACACCCCCAAACTTAAACGATACATTGTTTTCAATAAATGAAGACAAATATAGAAGCTAAACATGCGTAGAAGTCTAAAAGGAAGAACACTACCAAATGTGAAATCATGCAATCCATACATCCAATCCCGTAGGAGATGCAAGTTTCCTCCCCCAAACTTGTACTTAATAATCTGTCAAAATAAACTGGGTACCAAGTGTAAAGCATATACATTTATATAGATTGAAATCTAAAAAATCATTTATGCTTTATTATAAAACCGGGAAGAAAACCAAAATTTATGCACATCAAAAAGTGCACCCACAAGTGTCATGCCAAACATGGCCCAAAATAAATAAAAAAAATTCAAAACACACTAAACAAAAATAAATAACATGAATAAAGGTAGTAAATGAGCAACATGATGCTCAATCATCCCTTATAGAGGATGAAGATGGACCCGGACCTGCACTACCACTATCAATAAGTGATTGAAGCATTGCATGGAACATATGCTGCTCCTTCATGGTTTGCTCATGGTATGTATCAACTCACAATTGGAGTATGTCCAAACGAGTGCTCAAGGATTCATATTCCTCCCGCCCCATCGCGAGTGGTTCATCCTCATCTTCTTCCATTGGTTTCTTAATTTCCAAACCCTCAACATTTCCAAAGTCAAGCTCTTCTACAATCTTCAATTGTCTTGCATTCTTCAACTGACCTATGCTCTTCTTCCATTCCTTAAGAGTATATTTTCCATTGCTTTTGGATTTTTCCTCTACCAGACGGATTGGAATACCCTTATTCTTGATCATTTTTAAATGAGGTAGGGAAATGGAAATAGCCATATCAAAGATTTTGTATTGTGCTGGATGATTAAGTCTATGTAAAGTTTCATCATCTGGTCATAAATGAGCTCAGGACCATTGAACCAAGAACCGGTATGAGCTGAATACAGAGCTTTCAAGAATTTGCCCCTTTTCTCGTCATGATGGCTAATGGCGAAAACATTTTTAGCCAGGACGGACTGAATGAACCAAATCTAGGGTGGCATATAAAATTTTCTTGTAGAAGTGTTCCTTTTGTTGGTGTAATTGGTATGGAAAATTTGCCTAACAATGTCCTCTTGGTCTACAAGTTTCGGAAAAGGGCCAAAGAGGGATTGCCCATTGGTATTGACTGAAGACTCAATAAGGCAGCCACTAGCTATAGAGATGTCTTCTAATGTGAAAGTGAGAGAGACTTCATCAATGGATGAAGTGAACACGGTTGGGTTCTCGTAATTATAAGAAATTTTTTGGTAGAATTGATGAACCAAACGCGGGTAAAACATATGGTGACAAGTAATAAAGAGAGAACCAATATTATAATCATATAGATTTTGGACCGCCCACACCGTTTGTATATGCCTTTTGAAATCATAATTGACTTCAAATTTTATGTCAGGTCCGATAGGCCATTTGCTCCAATTGGAAACAAAGGCCTCCTCAGATGAACTTGCTCATTTGTCTCCACTTTTGGATGATTTGGAATGCTTTTCGCCAACCTTAGGTGTCATTTGAAGTGAAAAAATTGGTTAGGGAATTTGCACAAATAGGTGGTGTGCAACATAAAAGAACCTAGAGCAAGAATATGTAATTGAGTTAGAAAACCCACAATTTTAAACAACAATCAACACTAAATCCCGGTCCTAACACAATCTAATCATCCATCACATGAAATTCCCTTCCTCCTCATGAATTAATGAAGAATTGAAAGAAGTTGAAAAAGAGAAGAAGAGATTTACCTTAGTGAAGTAGATGAAACTTAAGCTTGAGTGATTAAGACCTTTTGATTCTTTGATTTAGAAGATTAATTGAAGATTGGATTGATTGGAAAATGGAATGGTGGGGTAAGGTGAGTGAAAATTTGCTTAAGAGGGAGGTAGGGTCGAGATATGGAGGGTGAAGTAGAATAAAAATGATATGGGGGTAAAATATATAACGAATGAATGGCCCCCAAATTCTGGGCAAATGGGTCCAGACGTACAATGTCAAGGTCACCTTGAGCTAAGCGTGACAGCCTTGATGGCAACTGGCATCCGGACTCAAGGAAGTGCGTTCGGAAGCATTTTTAGCAGCAGACTGTTTTTTCATTTTGGCCTTTTGGAGGCCGGAACGAAGTCCGTAATTCGCAAAACTTTTTGGACATCATATACATACCCTGAGACAATCCTCGGATCGATCAGAATGGAAATTGGACATGTTTTGAAAAATCTGAACTTTTTAGATTTTTAAAACTGTTTTGCTCCCAGGTAGCTATGCGTCCGGACACAAGAAGGGGTGTCCAGATGCAAATATGCCAACAAACTATTTTTTTATTTATTTTTATTTTAGAACCCGAGACAAACTCGAAAAATTTTAATTTTTTCAACAGAGCCTATTTAATGTCCTAGACACCTAGTATGACCAAAAGAATTGAAATCAGAGCACTTTTGCAAAAGCGCTTAATTTGAGGTTCATACTTTTTTATTTTTTATATTTATGTAAACAACATCTGAAAGATAAAAATGTCCAAAATGACAAAAAGAGAAAAATAAAAAAAATAAAAAAATTGAAAAATATCTAACAACTACAGATTCTCAAGGTAAGGGCCAACTTATACCATGTCTCTCTAGAGAGTCTTGTGTCCCCAAATAAGAAAATTCCTTTAGGAATAGAGGAAATAGAGCCTGAAGATAAAAAGTGGGAGTAGGTAAAGGAATGACCTCAACCCACTCTTCTTCCTCATTTGAGAACTTTGGATTATGGGAAGATTGATTTGGATTTTGGGATGGTTGATCAAGTGATGGAATATCAAGCAAAGACTTGTGAAGGATCATAGTTATTGCGGGAATGCCCGAAAAATTTTCCTTCAAACTTTCAACATCCTCCTCACACTTATCCGGTAGGTCAACTTCAAAATTTTGAGACAACTCAAGTAAGGGAATGGAAGGAGATGTAAGCTCCCAAGAGAGAGATTCATTTGGTGCTGCCCAAAGAGGAGAGTGAAAGTGCGGAGGAATGTCAAGCAAAGAATTTTCCTCCTAAATAGATTTTTCAACATAAAAATTATCACAATTAAATTGAGCCAAGCATGCTTTTAGAGGATTCTCCATTGGATTTTGGGTGTTTAATTTGGATTTTTAAGAGAGACAATCTCTTCATCATTGTTTTCCTCATTTTAACCCACAAATTCTTCAATTTTATACGTGGCAACAAATTGATCATTTTGAACCACCATTTCTTCATTCTTGTATGTGGTAACCACTTGATCGTTCTCATGATGAAAGTTACTAGGAGTAATCTCATCATTCACATAATTCTCTTTTGGATTGGCCATAAGTTCAATTAAAAATTCTTCTTCCTCTGCATGATTTCGAGTATTAACCATTTGTTGAATTTGGGCTATTTGATCTTTTATCTTAGCACAAACTTGGGACTTGTGATATGGTACCACTTGATTGATGGACTCTATTATGGATTGCAAGCTAGAAAAAGCAGCCAACATTTGCTTGTTATTAGCCATTAGCTCATCAAATTGAGACAGTGAAAAAGGAGAAGAAGGCTGGAAATCATGATTATTGGGCTGAAAATTTGATTCAAAATGTTGGCCATGAGATTGTAGGGCTGAATTTCCCATATCATGCCACATAAATTTTTGATGATCTCCCCAACCCGGGTTATAGTGATTGAAATATAGATCATTTCCCGGTTCAAAGAAATCTGCATTTGCTTGTTCTTGATAAAAATAAGGAAATTGTCCCGTTATAGGACAATCTCTTGTATCATGTGTATGACTAGAGCAAAATGCACATAACTCATGTGGTATGTAAAAATGATTTAGAGTATAAGTACCCTCTATTTAGGAGTAATTCATCCACTTGTTTAGATACATAAAAAAAATAAAAAATTTTACGTCCCAACATCAACTAGCATGCATCCATGTAAAGCAAAATCACCAAAGAATAAAGTGCAGCAAATATCAACTTTGAAACACTTACAAAGGGGTGCAATTCTCCAATATTTTAGAATTTTTTCAGAATTTTTCAACACTTAAAAGCGACTCCAAAGCAGCCCCTTTGCGTCAATCTGCACTCAAAACACTTGGCAAACAAATTAAAACAGAAAAATATATATACAAAATTTTACAAACAAACAGAATTTAATCTTTGAAATTTTTTATTACAAAGCCAATTGCAATCCCCGGCAACGGCGCCAAAAATTGATGCGTGCTAAAGCGTGCTCAAGCGTGCTCAATAATAAAACCACACTAGCTATAACTTAGATTAATAAGAAAGTGGTTAAGTAAGGGTATCGATCCATGAAGATTATGAAACTTATGGCAATCAAGTTTCAAAGATTAATTTCGCTTGTTAATGTCTCAAAAGATGGTTGATTTTTTTGTTTGTCATTTGCATAAAGATTTAAATAAACTAAATTGAATTTAAAGAACAATTAAAGGCACGCTAGGGAATTAAGTTCATCACGACGTCGTAATCATACATACTAGTAAATAACTTAGGGATACAACTACGTGCGATGTATAAAATGTAGAAATATAAAATAACTACAATAATTTTCAAGAAGATCATGTAATTTAAGACTAAGCATAACCCATCTGCGGTTTGCATGGCTCATTCACCTAAACTAGGGTGTGGTATGAGCCATTTTCCCTAGGGCTTATCAAAATCATAACATTACAAGTTTAGCACATGAAATCAATCCTCTGGTATAGACTATCTTTGATTGGCATTGACCATCTACCTAACTACATTAATCTAAGGGTGTAGCATGATTTATATTCCCTTAGCATAATCCATCTAAATTCATCTATAACATGCCAATAATCCCATTTCATGAATATAAATTCTCATTGTCACATATGAATATATTAAGTGTATAAATATATAATCATGCTTTCTATGACAATAATTACATGGTGTATATACCTATATATATATTTATATATATTCTACCTAGATTGTATATTAATTTAAATGTAAACAAAACAAATATTGACTTATACATCGAGGCTAGCTCAATCCCCTAGAAGAGGATTTAGCTCATCCTGGTGGTGGTAGGAACTCCGATGGTTAAAGAGGAAACTCTATCTTCGACTCTATGGCAGCCACAAACCAAGAACACTCAAAAATCCTATCTATTTCTCACTTTCTCACTCTAGAACCCTCACATTCTCTCTCCAAAAATGATATATGATATTGTATATATGAGAGATCCATATACAAGTGTATATAACCTCTTTTGGCAGAATCAGTTCAAAAAGCCATTAAACTCGTGTATTCAAGTGAGGAGGAGAGAGATAAGTAACTTGTAATGACCCGGTCTTTTCCCTCCTTCCCTTTTTTCGGCATTTTTATTTCCTTTCTATTTTCGTCTTTTTCTTGTTTCGTCTTTTCCCCTATTTCGCCTTTTCCCGTTTATCGTTTTCGTTGCATAACCTCACTTTTTGTGCTCGGATTTGATTCGAGCTTCGCATACATCCATGATATTTAATTTCCATGATATCTAAATTTTTACTTTTGTAGAAAAGCATGCTAGATGTTTATTTTTCTTGTAAAGGGTATAGATGCATAACTTCTTGAAAATATTCTTGACTTTTGGGGTTTTAGTGTAATTATAAAAAGTAATTATTTTTCGTCTTAGGGACCATTTTGTAATTTAATTTGAAAGATATTTTGGAAAAAGACATTTTCAAAATTTTTGGAAAGTGTGACAAGTGTCACACTCCTATGGTGCCACTTGTTGGCATTGGGGTGGAAAGACTTGGAAGCATAATCTTGTAATGCATGGAGGGTGGAGATTCACCCACTTGTTAGCCTAGGATTGGAGTACTTGTTGGCTTGAATGGTTGATAAGTGTAGGCACCTAATTTAGTCTTACATTGCGTGTGTGTGAGAGGTAGTGCAAGAGCACATAGTGAGTGGAGAATCCCACCACATTTAGTTTAGGGTTTGTGTTTTTATTTCATTTTATCTCTTTCCTCTCAGACCCTAACCTAGCCACCATTGAAGCAAAGCTTAGTTTAGAGCTTTAACCTTCATTTTGGCCTCCTTCCACTCACCTTAGACCCATAATTTTGGAATACTTTTGCTTACTCTCACTCTCCTCTATAAAACCCTAGTTTAGTTTGC